GGAGTGGTTGGGTGTGAACGGCAGTTTGAAGGTCAAGTTTCGGGTCCAGGGGGTAGTTGGCCAAATGGCGTTGGGGCTCACAGGGATGGGGCTCGTGGGTGGGGGGGGTGAGTCCATGTCGGGGGGGTGCGGTGTGCGGGTGCCAGAATTTTGGATGCGTGTTGAAGAGGGGTGGGGGGGAGCATGGGGACGTTACGTCGGAAGATTAGTCGCCTCCCCAGAGTATTCTGCCATCCGGAGTTGGGTTTCCCCTCAATTTACATCTCGCTCTCAGGCTTGGGTTTCTTGCGAGATTCCTTTGCGGCCACGTCCGCAGTGTACGGCAGGTCCGCGTTGACGCGGCAGCGACCCCACCGCGGGCGTTCAAGGTTGAACGTGGCTGACGCATTGAGTCGGCCGACGTCGAACAATGCACGCTGTCGGAAAGCCGCAATCGTTCAAGGTTGAGCGGTCGACGCGATGTCAGAAGCCAGGAGTGGCGTCGTCACGACACGATGTTGTTGGCCGCCACCCCCCTCTTCTTCATGGCAGAGCCACCCGCTTTGTCCAGATCTCGTTCGGTCCGTGGTCTGTCGTTAATTATTTGTTATTGGTTGCGTGTTTGGAGGAGGGAGAAATCAGATTGACCATGACCACGGTTTGGCGGCACTTTGTCGACGCGGATCTTGATTTGTGTTCCCCTCAACTTGTGGCCGTGCGGTTCCGTGCCCGTCTTTGCCCTGTGTCTGGGGGCTTCCGTCTGCCCTGGGCCTCCTCCCTGGTCCACCTTGGGTGGATGCGTTTCTGCAGCTCTTCCACAGCACGCGCGCGAGGCTTTGCGCCCGTGCTGCCCCATTTCGGCTCTTATCGTCAGGTGTCTTTCATTAGCGGCGGTCTGTGCACGATTCGTCCGCGGCCCAAGGAGGCGGCTTTGCTCTCAGCGGGCAGTCGTTCTATATTACGTCCTCATACCCATTCATTATGGCATGTATTACCGCCTTAATCCTCCCCACATTGCTCTCCCCATGCGCATCCAACCTGGCCGTAGTTCCTTGTCGAATCCTACACTCTGCTTCAGCCCGTGGAGATATCGATGGTGCCATTTCTACAGAGGATGGATGTAAGGTGGTGCGTGCGTGAAGTAGCTTCAATTGACACATGTTGAGGTGTCATGGAAGTACGTGAATTGAGCAGCGTCTACAGCGTGAGGGGTTTGGTTGCTCCTGATTCAGTTCGCAGGCGTCGAATGATGACCTGACCTGACCTGAGCTTACAGAGGACCAGGAAGGGATCCCGATACATGATGTGGAATTGGTGGAACTTACCTTGATCGTATCGCATCATGATGTCATCAATATCAGATTATTCGCGCTTCGCGGCGGGCACGTTCGGGCACACGGTGGTTGCCAGGAAGACCGAGGGTAAGGCAGTCGCATCATTACATCAGTCTCTCCCTAGAGTTCCAACATGTTGCCGCAGGTTTTCTGTTACCCGCCATCTCGCACTCTCACCGGCCCCGCCTACTGTCTTTGGGGAGGTGGATTCGCCACCACTGCTTTCTCTGGTCTACCTCCCTGTAGCAATCTTGGCTCGCGCCATTTCGGCTTCACCACACCGCTCAACTACGGGGTCCAGTTATATCTGCGATCGACCACGACATACAGCAAATACCCGGATTTTTTAGAGTCAGCCAGGTTGGTCATACAATAGTTTGGTAGGGAGGGATCCTTGATTCCACAAGCAAGCCAAGCAGCCCAGCATGCGTAGGCTATCATCATGGCCCTTGTTGTTGTCGCCACTAGTAATTTCGAGTTGGTGCCATGGCGTGAAATGTTGGCGCAGTTGAAAATTCGTTAACACAGATTTTACTACTGTGGTCCGCTAGTCTCAGATTATGCCCCCTCCTTTGGCCGTAATGCAACTCTCTACTCTTTCGTAATCGTTTTCGCTCTCGCCGATTACAGGATACATGTCATGCAAAGTATGCAACAGCGTGCAACTTATACTTGCAAGTCGTAGCCAGTGGCAGTAGCAAGTGCCCGAAATGGTTGAGGGGAGTGATCATGGTACTCGAAGATCGTATGTAGTCGAAGTGATGGCGAGTATTACTAGGGGGTAGGTAGACGCAGTAGTACTAGTATCACGTTATCGGAGTGGTAGTAGAGATAGTAGTCGTGGTATTAGCAGTGGTAGTGGGTGTAGTCATCGTAGCAGTAGTAAGTCGGAGAGTGTCCTTGGACGTTCGGTACTCAGGGATTGTGCGTGAGTCGTGGAGGACATGTAACACATCCTACTACAAACCAAATGTTGTCAAGAACTGCCCAGAACTTGTGAATCTGCGCATGTAGAGGCATTCGCCGTGTTACTTGTTATACCATAGTCTGGGTCCGCACTACCAGGGCGATGGTCCGCGCCACTAGGGCGATGGTCGATCTTCGATCAATCTTGAATCATCGATCCCGGATTTTCGATCTCCGATCGATCTTGGTTTATTTGATCTTCAATCGTCCCTCGATCCAGCAGCCGTGATGTTCGCTCGATCCGGGATCGTTCGATTTCGATCGAGAACGGAGCATGGATTTTCGTCTTTGGGTTAGCTTTTGGTTCTTCGATATTCGAAATTCGACTCCGTTTCGATCTATCTTTGGGCCCCGATCCAGGCTACGCAGTCTTAGATCAAGGGTCAAGGATCAGTCGAAAAGAACGGGTCAAGGACCCATGGAAAACCAAGGGTCCAGGATCCAGGATCGATTGAAGACCACCATTCCAGAATCGATAAAAGATCAAGGATCCTTGGTCGGAGACCAGGGCCTCTATCGAGGATTGAGGGTCGATCGAAGATTCAGGGCCTTGGATGTTTTGCCGAACGAAGCCCGAGGAGTCCGGGATCGATGGAAGATCGACCAGGATCCAGGGGCAACCCAAAATCGAGGGTAGTTCGAAGATCTAACATGCACGATCGATGACCCAGGATCGATCGACGACCGAGGTTCCAGGGGGTCACCAGCAAACCAAGCATGCAGCGATGCGACTCCCAAGAATTCGACACATCTACGCATTGACCCGTCTTTAGTAGTCTGTGGGTTGTTCGATGATGGTTCGTTTGCTGGAGATCTGGCGACCCCAGGATTATCGGCCATCATGCTAGACCGTCACAAAAGGTTGGATACCTAGAACAAAACACGAGGCTCCCAATAGCCATCAAACCATAAAGGTTGCATCTTTTAAAATGCTCAGGTCTTGGTGGTCGCAGTTGTTCAGTTTGTTGTGTTTCTATGATGACCCCCTAACTCTCGACCATGCTGTAATTCCCTACAAGAAACGTGTGTGTGAACCTTCAGCAGTAGGCATCGATTTGCACATTGGCCACTTTGGGCATCCAGAAATAAGCTCGTCGCATCAGGAATCAATGTGCAAAAGGCGCCGCACAAGATGAACGTATTCTCAGATCTGCGAAACCAGAGCAATAAGAGATGATGATACCGATCAGGAGGAGGGAGAATGGGGAAGGGGGGACGGTTGCAATACACTCCATAGATTTGCGGGGGAGAACAAACAATGATTTTTGTCCATCGTCGTTTGGTGTTGGGTTTTTGTTTTAACACGCAATGTTTTTACTTGACCTGGATTATAGGTGTTGGGTGATAGTATATTGGCATTCCGCACGCACGGTGGTATGCGGTTTGCGCGCCAGTGTTGCTTATTTTAGACGGGCATGTGTTCCGCCTGCTACCACGTTTTGGACAACACGGCTCTACTTTGAGGTACCACGAGTCATCGTCCCGATGAAAGCGCAGACGGGATTGCCAGGCTGTCTTGATGGCATTGAAAAGTTGCACGAACATGTGTTGAGTCGCCAAGCTGATAATACAGGGGGCATGCGTGCAGCCAGTCTCTGGCTTACTGCAGCATCAATCACGCATGTTTTATCGCAGTGGCCACATGTGTGAAAAGGCGTCAATCTTGAGCTTGCCTGCTTAGATGTCATGGCCAATCCGCACAACTTTTTTGCGTCGGCGGCTAGGCAGAGTAACTGCGCTGGCGGGAGAGTTAGCTAAACGGGGGCACCCTTGTGGCGAATTGTGCCGCAATGCAAAGAACATGGGACAAGGAAGGGAAGGCGGCCGAAGGAGGGGGGGCAGGAGCGAGGGCCGCTCAGGGGGACGAGTCACACGCGGAGCGTGTGGCACGGCCGGCCCCGCCGGCAGGGTCTGCGGCGGCTGCTGTACCGCGGGCCCAGCGGCGGCGGGGCGCAC